GTGGCTAGTTCAGATACCAAAAATCCACGCTACAGATGTCTAGAATAGGTGAGATGAATTCTAGATTGGAGACAGCAATTGCCAAAAAGGGAAAGTCTCCAAAACAGCTGTTTTTGTAAACCACAGAGATTAAGTTGGACTATAAAGATCCTATTAGAGGAGTATAACTTAATACCTGCTTGAGTTTTGTAAATTATTATAATTTGCAGTTCATTGGCTGGGCACGGTAGACAGGTGTTTTACTGCATGCTCCTCTGCTTCAGTATATTACTGAGGAGACACTTAGTTTTATTGTATAAATCTCTGCTCACACATTCCACAGTTTTCTGCAGCAGAAGAGATACAAGGATTTTCATCTTAATTTTTCTTGACTGCTTTCCCTGAGAATCCTCCTTGCAGAGTGTGGAGTCTAGCTCCAGCTATATGACTATATATAGCTATATAGTTATTTATATATTTCTGTATCTATCTCCAGCTATATGACAGGAAATGAATAGGAAGGTCAGGAGGAGAACTGAAGAACTGGAGAAGAATGTTTAGCTAGGAAAGCTCAGTTACACACTGACAAGGAAGAAGAGGCTGTGTGTAGACTGGAACAAAACGTGGGAGAGTTGTAGTGAGCTCATTCAGTACTGTTTGTTGAATATATTGAGGGGACAGATGGTTTTTCATGAAGCAAATCAACTGACCTACTGTTTTTTTCTGAAGAAGAGTCCCAGGACTCTGAAGGCTCTGTCTCAATACATTGCTTTCAGGGCCTTGATGTATTGGGGAGATGCTTTAGATATGAGTGGGTTGGAGGTCGCATATTTTGGCTAGGTTTGAGGTAAAATTTAGAGGGAAGGACCTAATAGTAATGTAGTGAGCATGGAATGAGATGCATGGAGTCAGTGGTTAAGAGCAAGGAGGGGGGAGGAAAGCAGAAGACACAGTGCTGAGGGTGAAGCCAGCAAGCAGTTAGCTCTGACAGAAGCCTTTGAGGAAACCTATTATTAATCCACAGTGCTATTTCCAGCACAAAGAAATGTAGCCTGTTCAAAGGATCAAGATATGCCAACTTCTGTGCTAGAATTAAAAAAATACACTGCAGAATCAGTTGTCTGTAACTTTATGTGCTTGTGAGGCTTCACAAAGTACCAAAATCCATGTTTGTGAATTTTCGTCACCAGCCATAAAGTTGTGAGCCATAAATATAAATGAACGAGTACCTAGGCTTTTTCTGCTGTTGGAAGTGAAATAATGGGGCATATTACCACAGGGATGCTGGTACCAAGCACAGTGTCCTCAGGCATTCTCAGTGGTATGCTGGATGGAGAAGAATAATATATTTGTTGGAAATATTTCCCAGTCCACATTTCAGGGGTAGAATTAGCACTGTACTTCCTTTACATATAAATACAGTTTGCTGAAGGAAGAGATTCTTTAGTGGGAATGACTCTGTCATCGTTATCCTGCTGGGTTTTTTATTTACCCGTAACTTTCATGCCAGCCATCGCTTATAAAACAAAGTGAGATAAGCTATTCTGTGAAGAGACAATACAGCTGCACTGGTAGTGGTGTCCCCATGTCATCTCTGATCTCAATATCAGGAAGACAGCTGTAATCACATTTACATTAACATTCATCAACAGCTGTTGGATTATCTGTTCTACTTGTATCTACCACATAGCAGATCCTCTACTGGCAGGAACAAAACAATTCACATGAACTCATTTAGAGTTAATAATTTTAGGTACAGGTAACAGAAAAAGATATTTAAAATTATGGCTAGCTTTGGAAAAACTGATCCCATCACCAAGAATCCCCTCTCTTCCACATTACTTCTCATTGTTTCTTTTATCATCTTACCTCTACTGGGTATCTACAGACCTCTGAAGCTCAGATGTCTAATTTTTGAACCTGAATGAAAAAAAAAAAAAGACTGTCTTTGCTTACCAGGTTCTTCTATTTCTGCCAAGTTAGTTTCACTATTACAAAGGGCTTGTTACCTTCATAGTAACATAAGTTCCTTTATTGTCTCTGAGGTCCCAACAGAAGCAGATACTGCTTTCCGTCAAGGACTAGTTTCCTGTAAATGATTTTTGATCACACAGGGTCACGTTCTGATGGCTTTCAGGAATTGAGTGCACCGGCAAAGGTGATAGTCAAAAGAGAACAGTGAATCTCAGAAATAGGTCATACAATGCTATTTTTGACACCACTATTAAGGCATAAATATAGGGCTCATATGATGAAAGTCTTTGCTTGAAACTTGGTAAATAACTGAGTGGTGAACCACAGATACCCTTGGAACATCCCTGAGTACTGCTATCGCTATTTCCAGTCTGTGATTCAGTTTTCTCTGAGTTAAGGAAGGCATTTTTAAACTTAGCCAAGCTGAGGTTTTTGAATGAAAACATACAGTGCATTCATATCTAATTTGTGGACGGAATTTGCTGATGCCCATGCTCTTTATTTGCTCTGTAAGCTCTTCTTTTACCACCAAGAACTTAAGCTTCTTCTGAGGTATGGAAAGCCTCATCACTAACTGCATTAAAACCTTGCTCCAGGAGAGCTTCTGAACCAACAAAAAACAATACCATATCTATGGGTTGTTGATTTTTAAATTATGTTACATTTTCCCATCTCTTTTTCAGCATTTAGATTTTAAGACCTGGTTCACACAAGGGAAATTAATGTTAGAGCAAGTATATGAGCACATCATTAATAAATATAATAAAGTATTTTAATTAAAGTGCTAACATAGGAATTAATGAGTACTAAGGCTATTATGAATTTGTAATCATTTGTTATTGAAGTAATAATATGATTATGCGAATTCTAATTTTATGCAATTTTCCTAAACCTTTTTGCTTTGCCCGACCTTTGCTTATGTTTATTTGCAGATCAAAGTCCAAGCAATGATCAGAGATTCACAGGCGCTGTGGTTCTTTCTAGGATGACATTTAGTGTTAATAAACTAAAGGTTTATACACAGCACTCAAATAGAGAATTGTTTGTCTCTTTTATTAAAACCAAAACCAGTAAGAACAAAACAAAACAAAACAAAACAAAAAAAAGCCAGGAACTGAAAATTCAGAGTTTGTACTTCTGCAGCTGCTTTGTTATAATTTTGTGCAGTGCAGAGGAGCAGGTAGCTGCCCTCTCTGCTCCCGTAGAAGTACTGACACTCTCACTGATTTTTCTTCCTGAAAGCTCATCTCACCTCATCTCCGTCCTGCACGCGCTTCGGCAAATGAAATTAAAAGCCCCCTTATATGAGTCTTGGCTGAAAAGCGTGAAAATATATATATACGCACACATATGTATAGACACAGACATAGATTAATAATAACTAAATGAGAAATGGTCAGAAATATATCAAGAATATTGGATTGTTCACTGTTCCAGCTAATGTGTTTCATCATTGCTAACAGTACTTGTGTCACTCAAAAATGGAAGAGGTGCAGTGTAGCCTGGCCCTGTGAGGCAATCAGCTGAAGTATTGCTCTCCAGAATTAAGCAGTTTTGTTCATGTGTGCTTGATTCTTCTTTTATCCAATCAACAGTTTACCTCAGTGATTTCTTAAAGATGTGATTCTTATGTTGGACCAAAAAAAGTGGTATTAACAGATTTCAGTTTGTGCTGAAATTTTAGGCCAGCAGAATCCAAAATCGTCACTGGAGTTTGGAAAGGAAAAGGATCGTTTTATCTGGCTATTTTAATCTCTCCTAAGTATAGACCCTGAACTGGCATTCTAGTTTGCACATTTGCAAAACATTTAACCTTACTTTTTTTTCCCCCCTCCTTTTCAATAGGGAAACATAAACTGGATGACGTAGCTTTATTTCAATTACTCTGAATCTCTAAATGCAGAGGCACTAATGACAGCCCGTAGTATTTGAGAGTGTATTGAGGGTCTCTGCTGTTCCCTAGAACCTTCCGCTGATAATGTCCTTCCACCTAAATATTGAGCAGTTTCTTTTTTATGTACCATTTTGCATCTGAATTCCTTTTGTTCCTGCATGTGAAGGTGTCAGGATCGCAGTGAGTTATCTTAGTGTTTGGTTTTTTAAAAAGTTGCGTTTCTGAATGATCTGCAGTGAGTTAGGAAATCTGAATGTTGCCCCTTTTGGTATAGTGTGGTATAAACCCATCTGTTAATATTTTGTAACCTTTTGACTTTCATGAAAACAATCAGATATATTTTGGAGAGAACATTTGTGATTTTTTCTGAAATACCTTTAAGACTAACACATGTATAACCCCATGATTTAACCTCGTAATCTTTTTCTGGAATAAACTGCAGGATAGATAAGCAAAATATTTCAAGTGTGTTATTTTTAAACATTTGTATAAATATCTTAACATAAGATGTGTTTTTCGTTACGGATAGCTGTGGCGTATATAGTGGTCTCTCTTCTACTCCTTGTTGTACAGGTGCACATCTAGTTACTCAGTGGGTTCACAGAAATGGCATTGGACAAAAATATTTTATTCAGTTTGCCCATCTGTACAAGCACAGGTAGCAGCAGATAGCGGACCTTACATACAAATACAAATGTACATAAAAAAGCAAGTAATGGTGAAGAAAAGTCATCTGACTGCTGTTTGTGAAAAAAGTCTTGAATAAATTTAACGTTCAGATATGGGCTTCAAAAAGTAGTGGTGGTGGTGGGTTGATGGTTGGACTTGATGATCTTAAAGGTCTTTTCCAACCTTAACGATTCTGTGATTCTGTGAAGTAAAAGGGGGATGTTTGCTTGTAGAAAAAAATGTACTAAGATACCTGTTTTTTTCATGTCCGGGAAAGAGCAGCAGCTCCCTAGGAAACACAGGACACTTTCAACAGCTGTCATATAAATCAGATGTATCTTTGAGGGTGATCCGTTCTCGAAGTAAGCACTTGCTTTTTGGAAATAGCAGCCACTGTACGTCAGTTGGGAGGGGTGTGCAGGCAGGTATCGCACAGCTGTGCGGGGCTGTTTACCGGCTTCACTAAGTGCTGTTTTTGTGGCAGATTAAATCCAATGGTGAGCTGCTCATTAAAAACGTCCAGCTGCGGCACGCAGGGAGGTACATGTGCACCGCGCAGACGATTGTGGACAACTCCTCGGCTTCAGCTGACCTGGTGGTAAGAGGTAAGGTTCTCCAGGTAAAACAGAAACGTGGCTGGTTTTTACCTGGACAAGCAGAGCGTTTCTGGTTGTTCAGAATATGTTATTTCTCAATCAAGAAATTACAGAAATTACGATGAGAAGTGCATGAACATGCAAAGTCCTTGAAGTCTGCTCAGGGTACTGATTCTGTTTCCAGACACTTAGAGGTCTAACTAAGCATATGCTTTCCTGAAAAGCAATAAAGATTTTTTTATTATGGGTATTTCCCTTCTGTTAAAGTAATTTTTAGACAGTTTAATGTGGTGTTCATTATTAAAAATAGGGTTTATGTATCATTTCAAAGTATCCACTCTGTAACATTTTTAAGAAGCCACTTCTGTTTTCTCGTAAAGCTTTATGGATTAAATTGTTGTGTGTAATACTAGGCCTAAATTAAAAGGGTTCCTAGTTTTCAAGTGTCAGAAACCAGGACATTTGGAGTTCAGGTTATCACTGCATTGTTAACTGATTCGTGTCTGTTAAGTATTATTGCCGTCTCAAAACACCGTGCTTGCTCATACCTATCCTGCAAGACCTGTTACAAGGCATGGTTTCCATAGAGTGAGTTAATTCATGCCCTTTGGGCATTTCACTCTGTCTTGTGCCTCCGGTCATTACACACTCTGAAGGGCTAATGCTGTGTCGTGCTGACAATTCGAAGCGGCCATAAGCTGTACCTGGAGCCACACTGCTGGCATGCTCTGCCCCACGTTCCGGTTACACTATAGAGCTCCATAGCAGCTGGAGTATAGCTTGTGCCTCGACTCTGAACTTCTGTCATCTGAGGATGTTGTGGACTTGAATATTTCTGTATTTAATTCTAGCTGGGTATTAACAGCCAGTGGAATGTCATCTGGTTTGGATGAAATGTCAAAGCAAATACACTAAGCAGCAAAACTGCAGCATACATCTGCAAAGAAAAAGAGAAGGGACTGTTCATGTGCCTTAGTATTACGTAAGCAATTCCTCTTAAAAATAAAAAGAGAGACAAGGTGCCTTATCAAGCTTCTGATTCTCCTTCCAACACAGTAATTATGGTTAGAATTGTTGCTCTGAGGTTATGCTGTGGAAGACATCAGCATTCATTTGATGCTTGACATTTGTGTTTTAATACGATGAACACAGCTCTGCTTAGTGCTGAGTAATTCTTGCTGCCATTTTTGTCAGTGGAAGACTCAGCATCTTACAGGGGTAAGGTTAGATGTACGATGAAATACGACAAAGGTGACATTATAGCTTCGCTGCATTGGTAGGAAGAGGCAAAGTATGAAAACACAGAGCTAGGTTCCAGCGCGTCTCACCAATGCAGCAGTAAGGGATAGCCACTGCGGGCACATGAAGATATTTTTTCTGTCCACAAAACAATTTAACAGCACATATGGATTGTCCCGTGTGATCTTGGAGTGTTAAAGTCGCTGTTGTGTTCAGGAGAATTGCAAGCGATACTGGCACACTGAAGACTGGCCCCTGAGTGCACCAACAGGCCTTAATGGGCCTTGGACTTCGGAAGTCTGAGGATGTGCGTCAGATGGCTGAAGATGGGCTTCAGACCTATGCTGTAGGTAGCTTGTCTCCTGGATGGACCGCTCGGGTATACGCAGTAGTTTGTCACCCGGATGCACTTGATCCACTACTTGCAGTACCTCGGACTGCCGTACCGGCACCTGGCCCTACCCGCTACATTCAGACCCGGCAGGACTGTGCCCCATTGTTGAAGGAACTGCCAACCCTGGGGTTACTCATGGGTCCTGGATCAGCTTTCCTGAGGGAGCAGCTGGTCCTTCGTGTTTCCTGACACACGCCGTTTTCAGAAACTTTGATAGTGAGGTGAGAAGCGGCAAGAGAGATCTCCTAAAGAAAGAAGGAAAGGAAGATCTTGGGACTGATGAACCTTTCCATAACTTCCAGCTTGAGGCCTTCTGAAGTGAACAGTTTTGCAGGAGAATGGGTCTCTCAGGCCTTACCTACCCGAGTCCTTAGAGCTGGGCTAGCAAATATGCGTGTTACCAGGGTGGAAGTTGACTAACAACCTTCATCTTAAAAATCAGCTCTTAGCAACGACTTCTACTTTGTGCAAGCTCTGTGAAAAGTAAGAGGCTGTTTCCACATGCAGTGATGTTTTTAGTCCTTACCTTGAAAGGGAGGTCCAAGGATACCTAGTTAGTAGGTTAGTTTTCAATGCCAAGATTTGAATTTTAATAGAAGTTTGTTATGAGCAATCCAGTAGTCAACTGACGTACATTTTTCCAAGGATACTAAATGGGAACTATTCTTGCATCTTAGGAGAAGAAACAAGCAGGAATTTGATTGTCGAAGTCATAGGCCATAGCCCAATAGACTGTGTAGAGTGGTCACTTTTATTTCTTTTTAAACAGTGGCATATATATTCTTTAAGTAACCAGTCTAAATTTGAATACTTTCAGAGTCGGGAATGGAATTGCTTGCTCGTTAGAAGGATAAATTAATTGCAATCAAGGAACAACAATATTCCTTTTGCTCAGATTTATGGAGAAAATAAAGAGCTCAATAGCTGAAGATACATTTGGCACATTGTGTTTGTAGATCTGATGTAGAAATCTCGTTCCATTCTTTTTGTTGAGTTGTTTTTGTTTTGATTTTCTGTGGTTTCTCTGTAAACACTGCAGAGAAATATATCCTGTTATTTCTTGTTGGTTTTTTTAATATGCTCTGGGACTTGTTCAGTCAGATTTTGGGATAATTACCTGAATCATGTTGGCATACTATTATATCTGAAGTGGAATCAGAAAACACTTCTCAATAGTTCTAATGCATTGTCTGTGTTGTTACACAATGGTTAATATATATCACATAACTTTGTATCATAAAACAGAAGCATAACAACAAAATCAGAACAGTCAATATGAAAAGAAAATATCTGTAGGCCAAGTTTGTAAATAGGTATTAAGCTTTGTGTTACGGAATTACTGTAAGTTTGAGGTTTTATAGCACAGACAGCTTACTGAACATTGTGGTGTCTTTTACAGATGAAGATTCCTATACTCACATACGTATGTGCCTGCATTACTCTCTTCTTAGCTTTCTGGTCTATGAAAAAATCACCTGTGCCTGTTGATCTGCACATTTTAGCCTCTCTTCTGGGGACCAAGGCACAGCAACAATAAAAAAGTTACCCACACAAAGTAGAGGTGTGGGAGTAGTAGTAATTAGAAGAAAAATTTTTAAATGTAAAAAATGTTTTTAGAAAAATGCATTTTTTGTCTCTCATTACTGTTTGGAAATAAACCAGATGAGGTTGGGTGAAAAGGTGAAATATCATTTATTAGGTTTAGTGATACACCTGGAAAAAACAGGCAAGTTTTGGGAACAGAGGCCTATCTCTTCAGATCTGAAGTACGACTAACAAACTTAAAGCCAAATATGGATTGAGAAAAATTGCTGTTATTTTAACATAGCTCTTTTAAGTAGTTGGTTTGAGCAGAAGTAGTATTTAATACTTGAAAAATGTAGAGATGAGACTGTGAACTAGTTCAGGACAAGCAGCTTCTACCTGTAATTATTTAGCTGGGTGTTGGGAGCATAGTAATATGCCATCAAGGCAACATCTGTATTTAGTTCATGACTTTTTGTATTCACTAGAGCTATGAATTTTGAAATTAAACTTTGCAAGTGTCTGTCTTCTGAAGAAAAAGAAAATACTCTTAAGAAATCGTTTTATAGGTCCTTGTTGATGATCAAGACTGAAACGGCAGATGCAGAATGGCTGTTTTGTGCAAAATGTCTTCCCTTTGACAGCTTAGTGCGTCTGTTCCTTCGTGGTGGTCTTTGTGGGGTTATTCTGGTGCAGAGGTTGTTCAATTTCACCCATGTAGTTCACAAGACTGCTTTTAGTTCAGCGGGTGTAGTGGATTCCACATTTTGGCATGGATTTTTGAAATTGTTGTGGGAAGGCTTTTGTTGAACTATGGAGAAACGTTGTCTAGTTCTGCTTTCACTCAAGTTACATTAGTCTGTAGGAAGTTTGAATCTGGTGATAGGGTTTACCACACTGGAGTAATATCAAAGCCAAGAGAAATGTGAAGAGGTCTATAGAAATGTCTTTCAAAGTATGATTTTTCTCCAATGTAAGTTACAAGATTTTCCATATAAATTGCAATCAGGGCCCATATGGCACAGCAGAAATGTAGATTAAAGTTGGGCCACCAATAAGGTCAGCATTAGGTGGAATTACGGAAGGAAGATTTTGTTTATTTTTTCTGACTCTGAGTTCACTGTTACTTGAAAAAAAGAGCGGCACCAGTTTCAAAGTATCATTTTTTCACTTAAGAAAATTTCAATATTACTACTTGGGCAGGAATCATAGAAGTTTCATTTGGTAGTTGTTAGATGCAAGAGCATTTATCCCTTGAATCACTGTAGAGTATTAAAATGTGTATATACATTTTCAATCTGTTCTTAAGTAGAAAATGAGACTCGAGAGCCTTGTATCTGATAAATACAAGTAGGAAAGTTAGTGAACTTTAAATTTTCAGAATATCTAATTTGTGAAATGAACTACCGATTTTTTTCCTCAGGTCCTCCAGGCCCTCCCGGAGGTATAAGAGTAGAAGAAATCAGAGACACTGCTGTAGCACTTACCTGGAGTCGTGGAACAGACAATCATAGCCCTATTTCTAAATACACTATCCAGTCAAAAACCTTTCTATCTGAAGAGTGGAAAGATGCCAAAACAGGTAAGAGTAATGCCAGAAGTAATAAAGTCAATCAGTTTTAAAGTGTTTGATTGTTAGAAAGCCCGGCTAATCAGAAAATAGTCACAATAAAAGGAAACCAGGGATGCTATCGATGTCTGCTGCAGGGTTTGGGAGCGGGTACTGCCCTGTCAGTGTGTTGTCAGCAGATTTGTTCTCAGCACTTGGAGGGCCTGAACTGAATATCAAGAAATACAGAAAAGAACAGGCCAGTGTTTTCACCTGTTTTTTGCCTCTTTCCTTTTTGCTGGAAACATTCCCCACGCCCGACTAGAATCAGAAAAATTTATGTACAGGTTAATTTGGGTGACAAACAGGTGTCTTCGCTTTTGTATTTGTTATGCAGAAAGTTGGTTAAAATTGTCTGCTTTTCCCTGGGAGCTGCCTATGTTCCAGTTGCGTTAAAACTGGCACCCCCGGAGAAAACATAGCTAAGGTTACCCTTCTAACCACTGGATGTCATCATTGTGCCACATAATTGCAGCTGAGGACGCACCTACCTGAACACAGGGCATACTAATGTATATTTCTTTGCAAGATTTAACATAAATGCATAAATTATGACAATATTTTTAAACTACTAGTATCTTTGAATGCTTTGTGAAGGATAGCATTGCCACAAACTATACGGAATTGTCCTATCAATATGATTCATTATGCCACCATAATAGGTTATAACTTCAGTGCTTTCCTGTGGAATTAGGGCATCACATACTCAGCATTTCTAAATACTAAGACTATTAATAGTTTCAGCTATTGTCTTTCATTTAAATTGTCCTTTGAAACTACAGAGATAGATGTCTAAGAAATAGACTTTGACATATTGACCTGAAAATCTCTGTTACATTTTTAGATTAAAAAGTTAAAAATACTGGGCCTACTGCTTTAATCATATTTCTGTTCTAGAATATGTAGTATATGTAGCTCTATTGTACATAATTACCTCTAATGTCCAGCACTAGTATATGACTTATGTTAAATAACTTGGAAAATAAAACTAGAAGTTTCCCCAGACCTCTCCTGTCTCTTATATCTTGTTTAATAGTTTCCTTAGAATAGATTTATTTGAACTTTAAAAAAACAATTGATGTAGGCATTAGAGCTATTCAAATAACTCATGATTTGCTTCAGTAACAATATACGCAGGAGGGACGATCCTTTTAGACCAGCCTCCGCTTTTTTTCAGGATAAATTATGTTTTATTTCTAATTCAGGGTTTTTATTTTTAATTTTAAAAAAAAAAAAGGAATTGGGAAAAAACGAGGTTATATGAAGATACAGGAAGAATTTGTAAACCGGGGGTGGCAGCTCTTATACTGCTTCCTTTTGTGCTGCATATTACTAGAACTAGAAACATATGTGTAGGAGATACAAGTGTTGGATTCAGATCTTTGCTCTGTCTGGTTCAGATCAGACACTTGGACCCATCTGTCTCACTTCTCGAGAAGATTCCCTGTTTGCAGCGTTACAGGCATGATGGGATGCACTTATCTGCATCTCTGAAGTTCTGCTGCTTCACAGAATTGAGATGATAGTCATTGAGACATGCAGTCAGACTTTGAGTCTTATCCTTGTAGCATGTTGAGTGGGATTCACATCTTGAGTGGGGCAAGGAGGAATCTAGATTGTTGAACTCCTTTTTTAAGAAGCTAGCAGGAAAGATATAAATTATTCATTTCTGAAAAGTTGAAATGAACTATTCCGGTGTTTTCAAATTCATTGCTTTTTCATTTGAACCACACTGAGCAATTTTGATTAATAGATGATTCCCTCAAAAAACAGGTAAAATCCCCATACTAACCATCGCTGGCACCACTGCAAACTTTTACTTAATTTCTGGGCTCCTCCCAGTTTGTCTTGATGTTCACTTTCATATGAAAGAAGCATGATGAACAGTCCAAATTGATCTCTCATTAATGTTTAGGCTATCATTTAATGCTGCTAATTTTCAATGTGGGGAACAAAAAAATATACTTCGGCATTGCACTTTGGAAATAACTGTTGTTATTATTGTTACTACCGTTATTCCCAAACCAAATCATTCGTCTCAGGTTGCGTAATATCAAGTGTGTTTTATGAAAGAAAGAAATGTATTCTATTTCACAGTATGGAAATACATATGAATGGGTTGTGAAATAAGTTGTTTACATTTATGTTGCTCTTTCCAGTTAAGGGGATCAGATTCTTACCATGTTGAGTACCCATAACTATTCTGGGAATTTGTGGCACAGTAAGATTAAATGAAGAGATTGGAAGTAGCCCAGGAAAAGGAATGCCAAATTTGTATCGTGTCTTGCATGCCATAGGAGGTTTGCAATGGCTCTACTGACTGGACAAAAAAATAATTTGAGTAAGCATGAGGGAAGGTAGTGGGCAGGTGGAAAGAAAATGGAAAGTGTTTTTCTTTCTCCTTCAGGGCCTCACTTTGGAATGAAAAATTTAGTGATCATTAGGTAGAAGAAAGTTGTGACACCATCCGGTGCTTACACTTCTGTGCTTGGGCTTTTTGCAGCCTTTGCATTCATATTTTAATTCCAAATCAGCTGCCTTTCCAGTGCGGAATATCTCATTTCTCATCTGCCTCTGAACCCAAGACTAATTTGACAAACAACTCTTGGCCTACACAATAAAAGACAATCCTCTGTCTTTCTATAACTACAGACAGCTATAGAAACAGCCCCTATTGTCTGTGAATTGTAGACAGAGTCATGAGTTACGCATTTTATTTATGGTAAAGCAGCTCATCCTTATGACGATAGTAAGTCTTTTCACAGGAATTACAAGAACACTTACCCTTGTTGGATCAGAACTAGATAGCGAGTTGTAACATGCTCACTAATAAGGTGCACCAAAATACGACCACATTTTACAAACCACTCTTTATCAATTGATCGAACCATACATTTGCACATGTCTAGCCCTTGTCTATATCATTAATTTTTATTTTACTGTTTTTTCATTCCAGATTTCTCATTACATTTGTCTGTAGGTAAAATGAAATTCTACAACTACAATATGTAATTAGTAAGGATCTCATAACTACATGTACTTCTTTTGCTAGCTCACACCCAGTTAAAACTTACAAGTCTATAAAGGTTTATCCAAGACAGTGTCATAGTTTCCAAATTCCCAGCCACTGCCGTGAGTACTTCTTGTAAAATGTGGTGTTCCTAATGTACAACATCAAGTTTCCTTCAGTTAGCTATGTGTGGTTGCAGAATAGTTGTAGTTTTGCTGAAATCAACCACATTGTTGGCTGACCTTCTTGTAAAAATACTGTTTTCTAAAGCAATTTCTTGTATTTTTTCAGAACCATCAGATATTGAAGGAAATATGGAATCTGCTACAGTGATTGATTTAATTCCATGGATGGAATATGAGTTCCGGATAATAGCAACAAACACTCTGGGGACAGGAGAACCTAGTATGCCATCACAAAGAATTAGAACTGAAGGCGCTCGTACGTAAACAGAAAATGTCAAGTTTTTTTATGTGCTTCTTAATTTTCACACTTGTATTAATCAATTTTGTAATTTTGTTTTTTATTTTTAAAAAGCACTTTATAAGATGCAAGTCTAGAGAATATATTTTCAGCCACCCACTACTATAGATTTTAGTAAGCAAATACCCGACTGTGTAAATGCGATAGCATCAAAGCAGACAGGAAAGAAACATCGTGATACAAGTGGCAAATTTGCCTCCATTGCTGAAACAGAATCATACTGTACCTTTCAGAGATCCCCCACTGTATCTATCAGTCAGGCTGCGTGTGTATGAATGCATGAACATGCTTGGGACCAGGGTAAAGGACTTATGAAAAAAAAAATGCATGTGTTTAAAAAGGAAAATGTCCACTTGCTGTTTGGTTTGTGTTCTGACTAAAGAATACATGACAGGATGTGTGCTATACTGGATAACGCCATTTTTCTGTGATTGAAGGCTTAGTCCTCTGTCTTCTTATTCCACGTCAAGGATGTGACATTATCCAACACAACATATGCCCTTATCAGTCTAATAGCTCAGTGTTAAAATCTCGGAGTATATTTAAGGATATCCTTTAGGCTCAGGCACATCCTTTTCAAAATGAATTCTCCAAAATGAGGAATTAGATGTTATTATTCAAGATAGTACAATCTGGTTTGACTGTACAAAGGAGATAACAGCAGTGCTCTAGGAGGTAATGCATCACTGCAAAAAGACTGTATCCAACAAAGCCTGTATACCAGTATATCCTCCTTAACACATATTAGCACCCATGTACAGCCTGGATATATTTACAGTTGCTGTCCCATAGCTTGAGATTTGAAACTAAGAATGCAAAACCAAAGTGTAAAAATTGATTTTTGCAATTACACCAGCTAGGTCATTGCTTTGATTAGATAGTATTTTCAAAATAAAATGTATTTGCGTTGCAAATTTCAAAATATTTATTAAAAGAGATCCACATTTGGACCATTAAAAATGTTGTTGCTTAGGGAGAAAGGAAATACAGATTGGTTAAATTAATCTGGACAGAGAAGGAAAAGCTACAGAACTTTAATACTAAAGTAAAAGGAAATTGCTGCTTATAAAACTGGCTATTAGCAACATAGTTTTTATGACTCAACATCTGTATTTGAAGACCCAGGAATCTAAATAAGAAAACTACACATGCTTCTTGGAGTGCCTGATGCACAACAGACATTTCTGAAATGTCAGAAAAGAGACAGAAAGGGAGGGGAAATAATGCTTACAGGTGGAATAGTGGTAGTGTCCTGCAGTTTGCAGTGGTGTTTGTTCACGGTATTTGTTGTAGCCACCCAAAAAAATGGCATATCCTCCAGTTTTGTAGCAGGAGGCAATGCTTTTGAAGAGGTAGTCTTGTTTAGTCTGTTGTCTGATTCCCCATGCACAGCACCTTTGTCATCCCTGGCAGAGTGTGAGACATTTTTGGTGAAACAAAGCAAAATCTTAATGTAGTCTTGCTAGGCATCAGTCAGCACTTCTTGCCATGCCAAAATATGGTATAAATCAGTAACACTTAGCAGATGAACTTCTATTCCCAAGTGCATTTTCTGCCAGAAGCTGCAATTTGTTATGAGCAGCAACAATAGGATATGGGTTGCACTGTCAACTTCCAGGTACTACAGAACCAGTACTGCATGTGCATTTTCATGTAAATCTGAAGAAGATAAATATTTTATTGCACAAACAACAACCCGTATCCCCCACGTAGTTATTTTTAACATTTGTTCTGTTCTGAAGTCTCTTTTCATGTAGATAACGGTAATTTCAGTAACTTTTATTAGCATGCTAGGAATGTTGCTCTGATTTTTTTTAATGAAATCTGCTTGCTTCATCAATAACGCATTTCACAGTGATTTCTTGAAATTCAGTGGATCAAAGTCTGCTTTTATGTATTTTAGCTTCTGGATACATTAGAGTAATTGTCCAAGTATAGCTGTCTAAATTAGTAACCTGGTCTTAATGGAGAGAGAAACCTGGGTTTAATGGTTGAGAGAATGAGGGAGAGTCTCTTGAAAAGGGTGATTTGTAAGACATTAGACAATCTTTTTTCTCTTCTCTGGCAGCCTGTGTGTCTTCTTTGACTATTTAAGCATTCTGGCAAACCTCTGCTTCTAACGTAACACTGAAGTTATATGCTTCATGTAATAGATAATAGATAGTGTGACTCCTTGTGTATTTCAGTAGTAGCAAGGCCAAGTAATAAGTTCAAGCTTCCTCTTCATTTGTCATGATATGTATGTTTGGTCTCTTTCTCCACTAATTTGTTTTGTAGAAGGCCAGAAATAAATAAGGCAAACCATGCACTCAATGCTGATTTCAATCTCAAATTTCTGCTACATATTTTTATCCTTTCTGAAAGCATTAATTCCTCTCTGCTTTGTGTTTCTTCTCAGCTGACCCTCAGAGAAAGCCTCGGCAAACATCTTAAATAGCACGAAAGCACTTAGGAACTGTCCCCTTACTGTCTTGTGACATTGACCAATTAGTGGAGAAAATGTCTGATCATATAAGAATTTTTAACACAAAGAACATATTCATGCAGATAGGGCATGTAGCTAATGCATGACCACCTGGGGCACGTTTAATGCGCTATAGGTAGGCCAGCTTCACCCAAGTTTTCAGTGGTACTTTGTACCACTTTTGCAGTGCACTTAGTGCAAAGAGTCTTACAGAAAGGAGATTACAGGAACGATTTGTAATAGCGTCCTTGAGACTATCCCGCTTTACCACTCAGCTGTGCACTGATTATAGATCAACAGATTTTATTTCATTACACAGAGTATCAGTGTAAAATGCAATTAGTAAGTTCCTACGTGCGATGCCAGTTTCGCTTCCTGAACATCTCTACCCATTCTGAACATGCCGATCAAGAAGGCATCTAGAACAGGATTAGAATGCCAGTGCTTCAAATATATATATCCATGGGCTTAACCCTACACATTGCGAGTAAATCCATTGAAGTAGATGGAAGCGATCACAGTCTGTTAAGGTAAATATATGTGCAAGTCCTGGGTGCTTGAGCCCTTGGCATACCAGTGTCTGAGGAAGCACAAGAACACTACACAGTCCTTCTCTGAACACTCTGAGGAGTGTTCCATTTCTGAATAGCCTGTTAAGTATTTGTAGAGAATATTGTTAAAAAGAAGAATGATTGCTAGCTATGGTTAGAACTGGCATGTTTCCTGCAGCAGTAGCTATGCATCAGTCTTGGCAAGACCGCAGACTCTCACAGCTATTACACACTACCATTATTTTAATTGTGTGTGCCACGTGTGCTCATTGGCCCGCTGGTAAAAAGAAAAGTAAATAGTGATATTTTTACTGACTGCATACTTTGTAGTCATTTTTCCTGTCTCTTCTATTTTTCTAGCTCCTAATGTGGCTCCCTCTGATGTCGGAGGAGGGGGTGGGAGCAATCGAGAGCTGACAATAACGTGGATGGTAGGTATTGCACTGAGATCGCACAAAACCTACACTTCCTTGCATCTGATCTTGCTCCTCCTGAAACCCATGAATGGTTTGTCACTGGCTCCTGTGAAAGCAGGATTTGTACACAGTGTATAGGTTTTCAGACAGGAATGAGGAGGACAATGTTTTAGATGTTTATGTATTGGACATTTCTAAAATGTGATCTAAAACATTCTCTGGAAGTATGTTTCAAAGAGATAGAAACATATACTGACTATGATAATGCATTTAAAAATTCTGCATATTATATCTTTCTTGGAGGCTTTTTTTAAGTTACAATGTGAATAGCATGCAGATTTGCTTACTACAACTAAAAGTAAAACGTCTTAATTACGACTTTAATGTGCTGTGCACAGATTTACAGGCTTTATTAAAAAAAACAGAAAATACATTGCCATTCTGTAAACCAGCCTGTTATAATTATTAACTGGAGTTCTAAGGAAATTCTTGTGTATTGACATTTCATGAATCTTATTTTATGCTAATGTGACTGGGAACACAAAACAATGTTGCCTTGTACCACACCTTAGCCATTCATTGATATCCATGTACTGATGATGTTGTTCCTTTCTTCCAAGCCATTATTTTTTCTTTAACAATTATGCCTTAAGTAAAATAATGAAAGGGAAAAAGGACAGAGATAAAATGTTAATCACAAAAACAATGGAATTAAAAGTTCAAAAAAATGCAGTGTTATGAAAAAAGCTTTTCAGTAAGCAAAGTCTTTTGAAAACGTTATTTCTCATGTACCATAGGTATTCAGTCCATGACATTTTGTCTTTTCAAAGCCTTGTGTATATAGCTATATACATAAGTGCTGTCTTCATTCTGGTATCGAAGCAATGATTTTTAGAATTTACCTATACTGTCGTGAAAAAAAAGAAAACAGAGAAGAAGGGAAAAGAGACAAGAAGATAGAAAGAAAACAAAACCCAGAATAAGATAGAATAAGGATTTATAAGCAGAGTTGTTGTGTAGGCAAAATTTGCATAGGAGAGAGAGTTGAAGTCTTCTGAAGGGTATTTGGGAAAGCTAGGGAGGAGAAATAAAGCAAAAAAAAGCCTATCTATCTGATTCATGTCAGAGCCTCTCAGTATCCAGCAAAAACAGAGTTACAGACGCATTACCTCTGGCAAAGAAAGATGATTAAATGTTATGCTTGAAAAAATTACCAAGTTTTTCTTGCTGTTGACCTCTCTTCACCTTCATAAAACTATGAGGCACATAAAGCACATTATGCCATTTGTGTCTTTTGGGGAATAGTTTGTTTCAGATGTAGCAGCTTGTTTGCCTCAATGAAGAGTGCCTTTTCTTCTGGGAAGTAATACAAAGATGTCATCATTCCAACAGCAACTTTGTCATTATTGTATAGGGATCCTTCTTACTAATGTACAAATTTTAATCCATGTGCATATTTCATTCTTTTTGTACTTAAGGTTGATCATACCTCTTTGGAGAAGTCCTCAAGTATGACACAGAAATAGTCAGCCATATGTTTGGGCTAACAGATTTGGGCTTTCCTCTTTTGTTTTGTTCTGGTTTTTTAATTCCGTTCAATATATTTATTCACACTTCCTAAATATTTTAGCAATGAATTTACCTTAAAAAAATTTTCTAAGTTTCTGAAAAAGGAAGACACACACTTCTGTTAAAATATATTGGAAAGGTTATTTCTTAGTTAGGAAGTAGATGTGTCCAAATTGGTTTGATTCTGATCTTTACTTACTTTTGAAAAACAAAAGTCAAATAAGAACACATGCACTGGACAGTTGCACAAGACCTAGGGGTTTTTTTATTTCTTCACAAGTGCTGTCTTATAAAAACTTCAACAAACCACAGAGCCACTTCTTCCATTGCATGTAAAGACCCATACTCGTGGCATTTTGAGTACAGTAAAAACTTGGCTGTGACTAAACTAAAAAAGAAAATTATAACAATAGTGACTAATGCAAGATCTGAAGTACAATATCATTTCAGTCTTTCCTATACACCCAAGTAGATTTATATTCCAATTATTTCACTTACCTAATGTCATGCTTTTTACATCTGTTCTGTAATGAGTAGCTCGTTTAGTCAGACAAATTAAGCATGGCTTCAAATATTTACTTCCCAAGAACCTTCCGTACTATGTCTAGCACTGTTTTTGAAAGAGGCATTAGATTTACGGAGCCTGTCTGACAGACAACAATATATCTATCTGTAAGGCTAAGTTAAAGGTGTATATTGATGCCCCCAAATGTGCTGACATTTGTATACGCTACTCAAAATAGTCCTTAATTAAGAAGAGAAGAACAAAATGTATGGCAGGTTTACATGTTGCTGCCAACCCCCTTTCAGTTTTTGCTATGATTCATAAGCCCAGGTTGAATGAGACAGCCAGAGATGCAATCAAAGCTCCTCTAAGTCTTGTTTTGAAAGAACTGAGAAAGAGAGCTAGGAGTGACATGCCCATTCTTCCTCATTTTTCCCCATTTGTCTTTCCCTCTTCCATTCTGTTTTTCAAAGTTTTTAGTGGATACTACAAACTGTTCTGCTACTTGTACCTCCTTATTGTGTGCAGCCGTTGGAGGGCAAGCTGCTTTCAACATTTTATTTAAGACCTTCCAGAGGTCTTTTAAGTGCCAATCATGGCTTTCTGAAGTTTTCTTTGGCTGAAAATCATTCTGAGACTAGGGCCACATTGAGGCTGCTTACTTTGGCATATGAGAGGGGATTCTGGTTTATTTTAATCAGCTACATGCAATGATGGATTCAGAAGACAAGCTATCGAAGGTGACCTAGTCTGTGAATTCTTTTATTTTATGAATTTAAAGGCTGTCTATGAATCTAAACTTTGGTACATGAAGGTACCTTAGCTGTTCTGGGAAACGACGTATCCAATTTTCACCTGATCTCCAATCATACCTGAGGTAGAAAACAAGCTAAGACATGAGCTATACCTCATCCAATAGGTACACTCAGAATACGCCTGACACACAAAAAATGAAGCACATAAACTAGATTATCTAGGTTTTGGGTTTTTTTCATAGCTGATTTGTAGTTAAAGCCTTCACCTGGTGCCTTGTGGTTACCATCACGACTAGAGACCAAATATCCATCTCCTTTTTTGCATGAGGGCTTTCTTGAATTGTATCTCTTGGCAGTCATCTTAATTACCAATTATACTTAAGTCATTCACGTGTTCTCAGAAGTCCTGTTGTAGGTAAATGAGTATCTTTCCACAGTCTAAAGCTCCATTGGGCCTGGCTGAACAGAGGGGTTTCGCTGGGACTCAGGAAAAAAAGGAGAGTTTAT